CAGCATGCAAAATGTTTGACCTTGTTCAATGAAAGCATGCTTGAAATAATTCATTTCACTTCTTTATTCAATAGCCATTGTTATTCAGTGTTTGGGGTCTATCTTAGCAGTGTATAGCTAAAAGACACATGAACTGCACAGCTAATATGCATAGTTCAGTGTTTGTTTAATTATTGCATCATGTTGTTTGCATGTTGCAAATTCTCGCCATATCAGGCCCCACCGCCAGATTCCAGTATATTTGTTTTATTATACAACTGATGGTTTCATGGCGTGAATACAACATAAAGCAGGATGAAAACAATCTCAATATCTTATCTCAGGTTATACAGTCTAGCAAACTGTCACCTCGCTGTCAACCTTCTGTATAGCAGCAATCTCCTTTACATGGAATGCCTTTTTTCTGACTGCCTACATCACAAAGTAAATGAAAAGAATGCAAAACACAGCTGTGACACACGGCTATTCTTATGTTAGGTTGTCCTGGCCAAGAGATCCAGCATTAACCCAGCACAGCCACTGGAGAAAAAAGAAAATGAAAAGAGCATGCAAACTCCACAAAACTTAGCCATAACTGCAATGAATCCAACTAGCGCCATACTTGTGCTATTATCACAATCTGACACCAAGCTATAATTTATAAGCTGCATCTCAGCTAGCTAGAAGTGCCGTTAACCTTTAGTGTCAGGTATAAATCCAGCTACCAGGGATGAATCCTTATAAAATACAAGCTATTTGTGCTGAATATGTAAATGTGATGAAGTGATTGTTTGTGAATATGCTACCAATAACAATTTAATAAGCTGACATCAAGGCTCACTGCTTTGAGTCTGTTTGGAGTCTCATATCTCCCAGCAGTCAGACATTGCTTAATGCAGCTTTAACACGAACAAATCATTGCAAGTTTATCATCATCTCTATCATCTTTCAAGTTTTAATATTGACAACAGTACAGTCCATTAGCTTTCAGTGTCCTTGGCTGATATTCCTTCCTAATGATCCCTTACTTCACAAGTAGAGTAAGTGGATGAAGCCTTGATAACTCATCTTGAAACACGACTTGTAGTAAAAACTAACAGATCTCTGCTCCCTGCAGCATATTAATCAACAAAATTGACCAACAAAATAGGCTTTCTGCAGCAAAATATCAGCCTAATTACATTGAGAAAAGTCAATCAACTAAATTTATTACATTAAAACAGTAGAGAGTGGGGAAAAACGGTTTGGAATTATTGTATTTGGAGCGCTTGTTATCTAATTTGTTCTTCTGTTTTTCACTGAATGATGCTGGCAGTTCATTGTGCTTGTGAAAATACTGGATAACACACAGTATCAACACAAAAAAAGCACAGATAGAAAAAAAGATCGATTTATAATCAGTTCATCAGATAACACAGACGTAACGCTGCACTCCTCTTTCTCATCGAACTCACCCTCATGAACAACCTTACGATGTAACTGCAGCCCAGCCCATGCAGCAGTATATTAATGATAACCTGGTATTGTGGATAGATTTTCTCAGTTGTTCTCCTGACTGAAGTTTGGTCTATTTACAGCATCCAGCCATGCGATTGCATTTGTCCCCCACGGGAACCATCACGTTAACTTTTATTAAGTGGAAAAAAGTAAGAGTTCATTCTCCAGCTTTACTGTGTTTATCTTATGCTAACATAGTTGTGTAGCTAGCGATCACGTAGCACATCATTAAATACCAGCTAGCCCAACTTCAGTAACCCTACAAACTGCTGTTTAGTTTTCTATCTTCATTTATGTTGGAAGTGATAGCAGAGCTGTACGTTTTAATTTTTGCTGTGGTGGTTAAGCTGCTGGATTTTTGGCTTCATGACCCTTGTTCATGGTTCGTGCACGTCGAAACAGAGCTGTACGTTTGATTTTTTTTCAAAAATCCCTCAATCAGAACATGGTATATTATTTAATCTTAAATTTTTTGGGGGGAGACTTCCCGCGTACCCCTAGAGGGAGCCCACGTACCACCAGTGGTA